GCACCCACAGCTCCTCCCCCATGGAGTCGCCCCACAAGAAGAAGAAAATCGCGGCCCGGAGAAAATGGGAGGTTTTCCCGGGAAGAAACAAGTTCTTCTGCAATGGGAGGATTATGATGGCCCGGCAGACAGGCGTCTTCTACCTGACTCTCATCCTCATCCTGGTCACTAGCGGACTCTTCTTCGCCTTCGAGTAAGTGGCGGCGAAAGCTCCCCGACGCCCGGCACCCCTCGCCTCCCCCGACCCCTGCCCCTCCTCTCGCTACTTTCGTTTTCTAGAAGCCTTATCTATTATATTGTATATTGTTATATAATACAAACCCGCTTTCCCTCTTTTTCTTTTAAAGGTCTGTTTGCTTTTCGGTCCCCAGAGATAAATGCAGTTCTGGGTCGGGCTCTGGGAGTGGAGGAGAGGGGAGAGGGGACACTTGTAAGGTGTGCCGGCCTCGTTGCTCCCAAGGGTTGAGTGGCACCTTGCAGGTGGCTGATTCTTGGCTCTGTCTCTACCGAGTTTGGAGACTAACAAACCAGCCTAGATGTAGCCCTCTGTGGGAAGAGGGGATGAGGCAGATTCTTAAAGCAAGGATAAATAGAATCGACCTCCTTTCCTGCCCACAAGCTGTAGGGCATCTTGTTAAGCTCAGTTTACTAAATCTACATACCTTCGCTGAGTAATGAGAAATCTTGGTTATTTTAGGTCTCAAAGTGTGGGCCACCCCATGTGGCCTGGAAGGATAATTTCATTTTTCATTCTTCTTAGATGCTCACTTTTGATCAACAATTTCTGATTTACTAAGGTTTCTAAACTCATCACTTGTAAAAAAGTTTCAATAAAAAATGTTCTGAACAAACAGTTTCCCCTTCCATCCCACTAATTGGGAACAGGTGAAAGGAGACTTCAGGCCTATTCAGGAAAAGTATGACACTGCACGGTAACTTCCGATTCCAGAAACAGTACTTTGGAACTTTACGGCTTTTATCTGGAAAAAAGTGCATGCATGTCTTCGCTGTTTTCAGGAAGATCAAATTGGCCAGTAGCAACTACCCTCCTGCCAACTAATGAAAGATCTTCTTATTTATTAATAGTATTAGATAAAGTAGTTTAACCACATTCCAGAATCAGTTTCAGTTGCTCTTATTGGGTCCAACATTTGCAATGCAGCTTCTTATGTAATTCTTGGTCTCTTATGCTCAATGAAAGTTGTAGCTATTACCCACCTCCAATTAAGAAAAAAAGCAATACATTTATTGGGAATTCTTCTTTGCTTTTCCATATCCTAGTTATTATGGGACATGATACTCTTTCTGCTTCTGTTGGGTAGGGTTAATTAAAACCTTTTGTGTATATTTACTTTTGTCTCTGGTAAGTATTAATAAGCTCCGATTTTGTGCCTCGTGTTTGATATTCCAAATGCTGTCTCAAACAGAAATGAATGATCTCTTGACAATGTAATACTTTTCACATAAGGCCCTCCTGACCCTGAGGGGAAACATTTTGAATCTGAACATTGTGCTATGATGAATAACTTTAACAAGATTGAGTCAGAACAGGTTAGGAGAAAGATCGCAGGTATAAGCTCCTCACCTCCCCCAGTCTTTCTTACGCACAGCTCCTCCATTTCTGATTGTTTAAATTTTCCAGGTCTCTCCTAGACATTTGACTTTTGTACACATTTGAGACTAGTTGGTGGGGTCTGTTGAGGGACCTGGGGATGGGAGGGTAAGGGTGTGAAGAGGCTTTCAGAAGGACAGGAGAAATGTTCCCCTCTCCCCATTCAGAGCCAGCCTCTTGTCCTTGCAGACTTGGGGAACTGGAGGAAGGGGCCAGAGGTTCTGGTGAGTTTGCAGTCTGAGTCAGAATAAATTCCAGCACTGAAATGATGATGCCATCTGGTTGAACAGAAATGCCACCCTTTTCTTGGTGGCTTTCATTACAGGTGGTCCACTAGATAGAAAGTATCAACTATGTTCCTACTGTTAAAAAAGTTTTGAATGGATCTACATTGGAGTCTTTGCTCTTTTTAGCAATTTTGAGTGGAGAAAATGGGTTAATTTTGTGTTGCAGAGCTTTCGCCGCAAGTGTGTTTCATGTAGGCTCACGACTATTTCATTTTCTCTGTACACCCAAATCCCCACTGTGTGGTTAGGGGTCCCCTCCAGTTATTATTCAGCATCTTTTGTTTTCTTCTTTCAAACGTTGCTTTTAACGAAACCGTCATAAATTCATTTTTACTTCTTCATCTCTGTGTGTGTTTCTTCCAAGAGTTCTCTAAAGTCCTCACTAGCAGGTTGTTAGGGATCCTTTTCTGCGTCAGGGTTGTGTTACCTGATGGAGGAATAAACATACGCCCTGGGATTTTATTAGCTACTGTTGGCAGCTTCATTTTTAGATTGGCTCTATATGTATGTGTGTCTCTGGTCTCCATGAGTGTTGCTTCAGTTAAGGAGCTTGAAGTTTCAGAAAAATAGGCCTACCCTAGCATGATGCCTTAGTTGCAAAAAATCATAGGGCTGCTCAAACTGTAGACTCTTATGCTTTGGCAAGAATATTTGTTACTGTATTGCTTTTAAGTTTCTTAGCATTGCTAATGACAGAGTGAAATTAAATAACTTTGACCAAATTAATTTGATAGAGACTTAGAGAACCAATTAGTCACAAGCAGAGGAAATGAAACACCAGCCAGCTAGGAGAGATCAAGAGAGAATGCCAATTTTGCCTGCTCACGGCCTGCCTTCCTTCTGTCATTCCTTCAGTTATTTATTGAGCACATACCCTGTTGTTGCCTATTTTGATTAATTTTGTGTGTAAATAACTTTAATATTAGCAGAGTTCATTTTTAAACTGTAGGGCCCATGTTTCTCCATACTGTTATACAAAGGCAAGTATGAAATTTGAGGAGAAGACATAACTTCTAGACTTAGTTCTTAGAGCTCCTATTCCTGCAACTCCTCTCATCCCACCTCCCCTTCCTGACCTCGAACAGATGGACAAGGAATTTTGTCCAAGAGAAGTGGACTTCTTGGAATGCAGCAACAGGTGTTGACGCTGTCTTCCACCCTGGAAGAAAGGCAGGGTAGAATGATTATTCCCACCTGAAGACAGTGCCCTTTCTGCTGCTCTTTGCTGATCTTCCTCCAAGTATAAAATAGTGGTTATGTATGCATTTTGGGAAGACAGATCCCAAGATTCTCCCCAGAAGTATGATCCTAGACACATTATTTGACTTTTCTAAGCCTTAGTTTCCCAATCTGTTAAATGGGATTAATAATATCTACCTTTAAATGTTGAAGGTGAAATGAAGTGTACTTAGTACAGTGTCTGATACACAGTACTCACTAAATGGTACATATTATTAGAGTAGAACTTAGAAGTCGCCTCCCAAGAACTCTGGTCACCCTTTCCTAAGAACCTATGAAGGAGAGTTTATGGGTTAATAAGCAAGTGTGACAGTGATAGCATATTAGGGCTGAAAAAAATGCAGAGCTGTCTAGTCTGTGGTTAAAATAAAGATTGCGTGAGTCTGAGGAATGGCTTGCTCTTGCCCCTTCAGCGTGGGAGTCCTGCAGGGAAGTCTGGGGACCGCTTTTATCCAGACCCTAAGCATGAGCACTAAGGATACCTTCGAGAGGCAGGGACTGGATTTCATGTCCATTTTTGGAGCTATTGTCTGAGAACCAGGGACACAGTACTGAAAGCAACTAGAAGCAACCTGAAGCAACTCTCCAGCCTTTGTCAAACAGAGCGGGACTGTTTATCTTTGGGCATCTTTCATTCAACACAGGGAGCGCTGATGTGGGGTGACAGCACTTCAGGGCTGTATGTAAGAGAGAAGGGCGGAAGCTGGTTGCGGTGCTGTCCAGACATCTCACTGCTCCTTACCCTCGTTGAGGGGCTGGCGCATCAAAGACTCACTGTAGTGTCCTCACTCTCACACCCCTAGAATTGCAGTTTAAAAAGATCAGTGAACATTATCAATGTCTTTCTCTCTGACATACATATACATGCAGCCTGCTTTTGTTTAGAGTTGAAAATTTGAAGAAAAAAAAAAGTCTTTGGCCTGGAAGTATAGACATTTCATAGTCTCTTGATCACAGGAGTGGAAGGAAGGGGATGAACTGGGGTACAGATGAAGTCCTGTTTTCAGGAACACCCCCTGAGGCCAGGGAGGCCTGCTCAGATCCTGGACTTGACAGTCTCTCAGTTCTGTGCTGAAGCCACAGACAGTTTGGAGATGTTACCAGGGCTGAAATACTTGAGAATGTGAGAGAATTCTTAAATTTCTCCTCACCTAGAAGTCCATTGGTGTTTTTTTTTAAAAAGCCATATTTTCCTTTTTCTTTTCTTCCCTATCCCTCCCCTTCCCACTTCCCCTCATTTCTTCATCCTCCTTCTCCTCCTTTCACTGGCTCATCCCCTCTGAAATAATTAGTGAATAATTGATAGTCAGTGGAACTGGGGTCATGTTTGCCTTGAAGATGGAACAAGGGACTGTCCCCCATAAGCAAAAGTGCCATTTCCAATAATAATTCCTCCCTTTTAGGTCAGAAATCCTTTATTATCTAGTAGAGGGCACTGCCCTTATAATACATAAGGATCCTATCTTTTCTCAACTGTCCTGTTCCTAACTGCATCAAGCTCTCCATCATCTCAGAAAACATCTGGAAAGTGTCCCATTTTCTTTTTGCCACATGCTGGCCATGCTGTGATTGTTAGAACACCATGGGATTGATGGTAGATGATGGTAGGTGACCATCAGGGTCTTACAGCGAACATTCCCTATTAACTTAATAGATGGAGTCAAGGACCCTTTATAACCTACTGTGGCTCCACAAGAATTTTAGGTGGTTTTAAAACCTTTATGGTCTTTTGACATGAGTTCACTAACGTATTCATTTGTATGCATGATTAACAATACGTAAACTCCATGGGGGTAGGGACTCCATTTTTTTGTTCACTGATGTTCTCCCAGTACCCTGAGTAGTACCTGTACACAGCAGGCTCTCAGTAAATATTTATCATTTAATGAAATATGGTAATATTGAAACACACTGAAAAATAACTTCCTTGCGCTTCAGTTGTTCATTTTGTAAAGTTGTGAATGTTAATAAAATGCATGATTAACAATATCTTATAGAACATATTTGCCTTAGAAACATTATCAATGTAATTCTCCTGAATTCAGACCTAGTATC